TCATCCTCAGTCCTCCTCCTGATCCTCATCATCCTCCTCAGTCCTACCCCAGTCCTCCTCTTCCTCAGTCCTCCCCAAGTCCTCCTCTTCCTCAGTCCTTCCCAGTCCTCCTTCTCCTCCTCCTCCTCCTCAGTCCTCCCCAAGTCCTCCTCTTCCTCAGTCCTCCCCCAGTCCTCCTTCTCCTTCTCCTCATCCTCAGTCCTCCTCTTCAGTCCTCCTCGTCCTTAGTCCTCGCGTCCTCTTAGTCCTCCTCCTCCTCCTCCTCCCCGTCCTCAGTCCTCCTCCCCGTCCTCAGTCCTCCTCCTCCTCCTGAGTCCTCCTCCTCTGGAGTCCTCCTCATCCTCAGTCCTCCTCCTCATCCTCAGTCCTCCTCCTCAGTCCTCCTCGTCCTTAGTCCTCCCCCAGTCCTCCTTTTCCTCATCCTCAGTCCTCCTCCTCAGTCCTCGTTCTTCTCCTTTTTAACAGTCCTCCTCCTCAGTCTTCCTCCTCGTCCTCGCTCTCGTCCTCCTCCTTCTCCTCCTTCTCGTCTTCCTCCACAACAATCCTGCTCCTCTTCTTCAGTCCTCCCTCTCCTCTTCAGTCCTCCTCCTCCTCAGTCCTCCTCGGTCCTCCTCTTTCTCCTCAGTCTTCCTCCTTCTCCTCCTCCTCCTCAGTTCTCATCCTCATCCTCCTCCTCCTTCTTCTCTTCCTTCTCCTCCTAATCAGTCCTCCTCCTAATCAGTCCTCCTCCTCAGTCGTCCTCCTCCTCGTCCTTAGTCCTCGTCCTCGTCCTCCTCCTTCTCCTCAGTCCTCCTCACCCTCCTCCTCTATCCCCTTCTCCTCCTCAGTCCTACTCCCAGTCCTCCTCCTTCTCCTTCTCCTTCTCAGTTCTCCTCCTCCTCATCCTCATTTCTCCTCCTCATCCTCCTCCTGATCCTCCTTCCCCTCCCCATCCGTCCTCCTCAGTCCTCCTCATAGTCGTCCTCCTCCTCCTGAGTCCTCCTCCTCATCCTCCTCCACCTCCTGAGTCCTCCTCCTGATCCTCATCCTCCTCCTCAGTCATCCTCCTCTTCCTCCTCAGTCCTCCCCCAGTCCTACTTCTCCTTCTCCTCCTCCTCATCCTCCTCCTCCTTCTCCTCCTCATCAGTCCTCATCCTCTGTCCTCCTCATGATCGTCCTCGTCCTCATCCTCGTCCTTAGTCCTCGTCCTCCTTATCCTCCTCCTTAGTCCTCCCCCAGTCCTCCTCCTCATCCTCCTCCTTCTCCTCCTCCTGATCCTCCTCCTCCTCCTTCTCCTCTTTCTTCTCCTCCTAATCATTCCTCCTCCTCAGTCGTCCTCCTCCTCCTCCTCGTCCTTAGTCCTCGTCCTCATCCTCCTCAGTATTCCTCCTCAGTCCTCATCAGTCCTCATCTTCATCATCCTCCTCAACAGTCCTCCTCCTCCTCCTTCTTCTCCTCAGTCTTCCTCCTCAGTCCTCCGCCTCCTTCTCCTTCTCATCAGTCCTCCTCCTCCTCAGCCTCCTCCTCCTCATCCTCCTCCTTAGTCCTCATCCTCCTCGTCAGTCCTCCTCGTCAGTCCTTCTCCTCCTCCTCAGTCCTTCTCCTCATCGTCAGTCCTCCTCCTCCTCAGTCCTCCTCAGTCCTCCTCCTCCTTCTCCTACTCCTAAGTCCTCCTCCTTCTCCTCCTCAGTCTTCCTCCTCAGTCCTCCTCCTCCTTCTTCTTCTCATCAGTCCTCCTCCTCCTCAGCCTCCTCCTCATCCTCCTCCTTAGTCCTTATCCTCCTCCTCCTCCTCAGTCCTCCTCCTTCTCCTCCTTCTCCTCCTTTTCCTCCTTCTCCTCCTACTCCTAAGTCCTCCTCCTCCTCAGTCCTCCCCCAGTCCTCCTCCTCATTAGTCCTCCCCAGTCCTCCTTCTCCTCCTCATCCTCAGTCCTCCTCCTGATCCTCATCATCCTCCTCAGTCCTACCCCAGTCCTCCTCTTCCTCAGTCCTCCCCAAGTCCTCCTCTTCCTCAGTCCTTCCCAGTCCTCCTTCTCCTCCTCCTCCTCCTCAGTCCTCCCCAAGTCCTCCTCTTCCTCAGTCCTCCCCCAGTCCTCCTTCTCCTTCTCCTCATCCTCAGTCCTCCTCTTCAGTCCTCCTCGTCCTTAGTCCTCGCGTCCTCTTAGTCCTCCTCCTCCTCCTCCTCCCCGTCCTCAGTCCTCCTCCCCGTCCTCAGTCCTCCTCCTCCTCCTGAGTCCTCCTCCTCTGGAGTCCTCCTCATCCTCAGTCCTCCTCCTCATCCTCAGTCCTCCTCCTCAGTCCTCCTCGTCCTTAGTCCTCCCCCAGTCCTCCTTTTCCTCATCCTCAGTCCTCCTCCTCAGTCCTCGTTCTTCTCCTTTTTAACAGTCCTCCTCCTCAGTCTTCCTCCTCGTCCTCGCTCTCGTCCTCCTCCTTCTCCTCCTTCTCGTCTTCCTCCACAACAATCCTGCTCCTCTTCTTCAGTCCTCCCTCTCCTCTTCAGTCCTCCTCCTCCTCAGTCCTCCTCGGTCCTCCTCTTTCTCCTCAGTCTTCCTCCTTCTCCTCCTCCTCCTCAGTTCTCATCCTCATCCTCCTCCTCCTTCTTCTCTTCCTTCTCCTCCTAATCAGTCCTCCTCCTAATCAGTCCTCCTCCTCAGTCGTCCTCCTCCTCGTCCTTAGTCCTCGTCCTCATCCTCATCGTCCTTAGTCCTCGTCCTCATCCTCCTAGTCCTCGTCCTTAGTCCTCGTCCTCATCCTCCTAGTCCTCGTCCTGGTCCTCCTCAGTCTTCCTCCTCTGTCCTCCTCTGTCCTCCTTCTCCTCAGTCCTCCTCCTCCTCCTCATCAGTTAACACAATTTATTGTTACTAAAATGTTTTTAAACACATTTGAGTCTGTAACATATTGACATGTTACTGTTACTGACTCAAAATGTGCTCGAGAATATTTTTGTTTAACAGAGTTTTACTCTCCAGTACTATGGAAAAGTTGTTACATGATAAATAAAGATTTTGATAAATAAAGTGATTTTCATCCCTTTTAATGTTATCAAAATTTGTGTAGACTATTCTTTGTATCTAACTGAGGATTGGAAGTTTGAGAAAGGACCATGGTCATTATCCGTGCTACCCATTTCTGCAGATAGCCTGTTACAAATTGTGGAGACAATTTAAATCAAAAGTTACTAAAGCGTTCGCTATTTGTTACGATTGTTATTACCAACCGTACCTCTTTCAATTGTGGACCGGGGTGGATGTTTCTGTCAAACAAGAGTTGATACGACAGTGTGTTGTTTTTTTCGGACGAAACGATTCTTGTTTGGAACAAGATACCATTTTGGGGTTCTGGGACCACCACCAATCGATTTCTTGTCATATTTAAGTACAGAAATAGCTACCTATATCGCCTAGAAACCTCAGAGGGAAGATTTAAATTTTCCCGATTTTTCCGATATGAGGGTTGATGAGGCCAAAATCGGGATCGGAATGATCGGAAATGATCGGGTTGGACCCCCCCCAAAGAGGAAAGCTCTATCTTACGATGAGAAAAGAACAATACTGTTAAAGTTCAAAAGTGATCCCAGATTGAGAGTTGCAACTGTAGCTCGTGAGTATGGTATGTAAATTAAATCCAACATTTGTGTTCAGCTTAATGTAATTTTTTGCTATTAAAAACTTGCTCATTCTATGAATTTAATAAATTATGCTAAATATTACATTATAATTCTATTTCAGGGATCAATGAGTCCACAATAAGGACTATCAGGAAAATGGAAGAAAAGATTCTGTCATACCATACTCACCTGTCATCCAATTTATCTGACACTACTATAAAGAAAGCTCGGCTATCAAAATATGAAAAGTTAGACAGTGTTCTGTACAAGTGGGTGGAAACACAAAAAGCAGCTGGCTGTGAGGTAAGCCATATACTCTTAAGCTATGTATAGTGTATATAGTGTATACATGTATAATGTATGTATTATACGTACTACATACTAGATACAGGACACAGGTTGTAATGTTGTTCATCCTGTTATGTGTATTTGTAACTTGGTCACTTTGCTTGAATATAACCTGTTTTGCAGACAAACCAGCGAATCCTCAGGATAAAAGCTACGGAGTTGTCGAAAGAACTTTACGGAGACGACACACCTTTCAAAGCTTCTCACGGGTGGGTTTGGCGATTTAGGAAGAGGCACTGTTTGCGTATTCTAAGAGTGCAAGATGATAAGAAAGACGCAGACAAATCAAATCAAATTAAATCAGACAATGTTACTGCAGATGAGTTCATGAGGACAATTGCAAAGTTGTTAGAAAAACTACGAAGAAAAGCTGCCACCATGTCTTGAGAAGAGTTTAGTGTGCAGACAACATAACATTTTGATAGGCTTCATCATAACAGTTTGTTCACAAAATGAGGTTGTAATATGCAGTTTTAATTGCTCTTGCAGTCAACAAAGTTACCAAGTAAAGGGTTTTTCTACCCATGGCTGCCACTCATAGCTTTTATAGCCGAATTATGCTATAAAAACATTCACTTGTACTCTTGTTCGACTATTGGCTTATTGACGAAAGGTATCAAAATAACCCAACAAAAATTTAAATTTAATGCCATTTATTACAATTTTATTCTTCTTTAAAAATAAGATTTTTAAAGGATTCTTGTTAAATAATAGATGATGAGATGTTGTATTTTGACTTTTTGACTAACTGATAGTAAATTATACATATGTTATATACAGATTAGAAAGTGTTTTGGAAACATGCAAACTATATTGGTTTTAACACAAAGAAGAAGTTTTTATATTATAAAATACCTTTTACGAGTACACATTATAGTGTACGGTAAACGGTGTAGATATATTAGAAGTCTCTTTTGTTCTACAATCTGATTATACCTTAAGTTGCACTGTGACAGTGCTTTTACTGAAAACAGTGACTCAGAATTTGAAGATGACAACAACTTATCAATAACAATATTAACCTTTTGTATGTTGGTAGTGGTTAATAACGTATCTCTTCTGATAGGATGAGTTCAGAAGAGCGGTGGAGCGTTAGTGGGGTACTGCTTGCAGCAGCGGTTGTTGCCTTGTACCTTACTTTTGATGTTCCTTATCTGCTCTTTATGAAGAAAGCTATCGAGCAGAGTATTGATTCTAAGATAGATCTTCTTCATGTCTCTGTAGCAGGACTTCTCATAAGTAAGTAGTCCTATACTTATAGTAATTTTAGTTAATACTAAATAGTACATCTTGTTGAAATTGCATTGTTAGCTTTTAGTAAAAAGTCTGTATTTTAGCTTTCGAAGAGTAAAGTGAGTTTGCTGGTACATATAAACAATATTATATTAAAGACGGGTTCCTGCTAGTTATATTAAAGATACGGCGAGAAAGTGTGGTCCGAATATTCTGTTAGATTTGATATTTTTTCATTTCAGTAATTTGCGTTATGTTCGCTATATTGGTGGTCTTTAACAATAGACCTACTACTCAGCTAGGACACTGCAGACCTAAAAGAATCTTCCCTTTTATCTTCATCGGTATTCTTTCTTCTCTATTATTACTTTTTGAATAGTATCCTAGATAAATCTCTTCATTTCTTTAGTTTCTATGTTATTTTAAAGTAACAATGATATGCTACAGTTACTAAAGGATATCATAATCAATATGAAAATATGTATGGTACGTTATATAGTAACTATTGAATGCTATAGTTGATAATATGCTATAGTAGAGTAGTAACTATGGAAACACTAATCACCAGGGTTCCTAACATACTATAGTAGAGTAGTAACTATGGAAACACTAATCACCAGGGTTCCTAACATACTATAGTAGAGTAGTAACTATGGAAACACTAATCACCAGGGTTCCTAACATACTATAGTAGAGTAGTAACTATGGAAACACTAATCACCAGGGTTCCTAACATACTATAGTAGAGTAGTAACTATGGAAACACTAATCACCAGGGTTCCTAACATACTATAGTAGAGTAGTAACTATGGAAACACTAATCACCAGGGTTCCTGATTCTACTCCACTTCGTGCTGACAGTAGTAGTATCCGCTAAAGTTAGTGACCAGGAGAAGGCTAGACTGAGAGAGTATGTTCCCAACTATTGGAACTATCACACTGACTCTATAAACCAGCGCTATGTGGACGATATTCAGGTAATGTCACGTGCTGTGACGTCATCACACGTGCTGTGACGTCATCACACGTGCTGTGACGTCATCACACGTGCTGTGACGTCATCACACGTGCTGTGACGTCATCACACGTGCTGTGACGTCATCACACGTGCTGTGACGTCATCACACGTGCTGTGACGTCATCACACGTGCTGTGACGTCATCACACGTGCTGTGACGTCATAAAAAGGGCTGTTACGTCATCACACATGCTATGACGTCATCACACGTGCTGTTACGTCATCACATGTGCTGTGACGTCTTCACACGTACTGTGACGTCATAACACGTGCTGTGACGTCATAACACGTGCTGTGACTTCATCATTTGTAAATGTTATTGAATAATTCTACAACTGTAAGTTAAACGCACCTAGCTGATAATCTCTAATAAAAAACCTTTTACAACTAAATTAAATTAACCAACATGAACAGTTAGGTAAGTGAGGTAGAACTATTTCAGATATCACTGTCGTGTTGTGGGATAAGCTCTGTAGATGATTACGGTACAATGAACATCCCGCCTAGCTGCTGTGATAACAAAGGGTGTGACAAGGAGCGGGCTCACGAGATGGGGTAATTACTAATAAGTCAATTAGTTAATTAATTAATCATAAGTTAACTAATTGATTAGTTAATTAGTTGATAAACAGAAATCATTAAGATTTTTGACTAGAAGCTTTTCTGCTGTTTCCTTGACCGGAATTTCACAGTTTTGACTGAATTTTTGACCAGTGACCAATCAGTGAGGTCAGTGTGAGTGACATAAGTAACCATCTAGGTACTGCACTGGGAGCTGAATATCAAAAATGTATTATCTGTTTTAATAAAAATTAAATTAAATTAAAAAATTTGATTTTCCTGGTTCACTGTTCACTGTTAAATGCGTGGCTCTAATCATGACGAAATCTAGGATGGCACTTGCTTGGGACTGAGGTATAAAAACATTGTGGATCGGGAAATTGATCAGCCGCTCAAGAGATTTTATTTAATGTCTGATTTATATATTACCTTATATAGGCATCACGTGTTCTATTTCAGGTGCTACAAGAAGATATCCACACTACTCATCACGTGTTCTATTTCAGGTGCTACAAGAAGATATCCACACTACTCATCACGTGTTCTATTTCAGGTGCTTCAAGAAGATATCCACACTACTGATCACCCAAACTACCCTCCCCATATTGACTAGTGGTAAGTTAGTTAATTAGTTAGCTGTAATAAGTACAGAGAACATGACGTGCTGCTGTCGAGTTTAACAATGAATAGAGATTATAAATTCTCATCTCATGTATAACAATATCTCAGGTATAAGTCTGATAATAATCGGAGTTAACATTGCTGGCCTGATAAGGATGAGATTTGGAAATGGGTGTTACTCTGATCTGTACAGCAGAGAGGTGACCAGACCTCTCATACAGGAGGGGTAGGGGCAGCTGAGTAGAGGACAACAGAGGGGTAGGGGACAGCTGAGTAGAGGACAACAGAGGGTTAGGGGACAGCTGAGAAGAGGACAACAGTGCTGATACAGGAGGGGTAGGGGACAGCTGAGTAGAGGACAACAAAGGGGTAGGGGACAGCTGAGTAGAGGACAGCAGTGCTGATACAGGAGGGGTAGGGGACAGCTGAGTAGAGGACAACAGTGCTGATACAGGAGGGGTAGGGGACAGCTGAGTAGAGGACAACAGTGCTGATACAGGAGGGGTAGGGGATAGCTGAGTAGTGGACAACAGTGCTGATACAGGAGGGGTAGGGGACAGCTGAGTAGTGGACAACAGTGCTGATACAGGAGGGGTAGGGGACAGCTGAGTAGAGGACAACAGTGCTGATACAGGAGGGGTAGGGGACAGCTGAGTAGAGGACAACAGAGGGGAAGGGAACAGCTGAGTAGAGGACAACAGAGGGGTAGGGGACAGCTGAGTAGAGGACAACAGAGGGGTAGGGGACAGCTGAGTAGAGGACAACAGAGGGGTAGGGGACAGCTGAGTAGAGGACAACAGTGCTGATACAGGAGGGGTAGGGGCAGCTGAGTAGAGGACAACAGAGGGGTAGGGGACAGCTGAGTAGAGGACAACAGAGGGGTAGGGAACAGCTGAGTAGAGGACAACAGAGGGGTAGGGGACAGCTGAGTAGAGGACAACAGTGCTGATACAGGAGGGGTAGGGGACAGCTGAGTAGAGGACAACAGTGCTGATACAGGAGGGGTAGGGGACAGCTGAGTAGAGGACAACAGTGCTGATACAGGAGGGGTAGGGGACAGCTGAGTAGAGGACAACAGAGGGGAAGGGAACAGCTGAGTAGAGGACAACAGAGGGGTAGGGGACAGCTGAGTAGAGGACAACAGAGGGGTAGGGGACAGCTGAGTAGAGGACAACAGCGGGGTAGGGGGCAGCTGAGTAGAGGACAACAGAGGCGTAGGGGACAGCTGAGTAGAGGACAACAGTGCTTATACAGGAGGGGTAGGGGACAGCTGAGTAGAGGACAACAGTGCTGATACAGGAGGGATAGGGGACAGCTGAGTAGAGGACAACAGTGCTGATACAGGAGGGGTAGGGGACAGCTGAGTAGAGGACAACAGTGCTGATACAGGAGGGGTAGGGGACAGCTGAGTAGAGGACAACAGTGCTGATACAGGAGGGGTAGGGGGCAGCTGAGTAGAGGACAACAGAGGGGTAGGGGACAGCTGAGTAGAGGACAACAGAGGGGTAGGGGACAGCTGAGTAGAGGACAACAGAGGGGCAGGGGACAGCTGAGTAGAGGACAACAGCGGGGTAGGGGGCAGCTGAGTAGAGGACAACAGAGGCGTAGGGGACAGCTGAGTAGAGGACAACAGTGCTTATACAGGAGGGGTAGGGGACAGCTGAGTAGAGGACAACAGTGCTGATACAGGAGGGGTAGGGGACAGCTGAGTAGAGGACAACAGTGCTTATACAGGAGGGGTAGGGGACAGCTGAGTAGAGGACAACAGTGCTTATACAGGAGGGGTAGGGGACAGCTGAGTAGAGGACAACAGTGCTGATACAGGAGGGGTAGGGGACAGCTGAGTAGAGGACAACAGTGCTGATACAGGAGGGGTAGGGGACAGCTGAGTAGAGGACAACAGTGCTGATACAGGAGGGGTAGGGGACAGCTGAGTAGAGGACAACAGTGCTGATACAGGAGGGGTAGGGGACAGCTGAGTAGAGGACAACAGTGCTGATACAGGAGGGGTAGGGGACAGCTGAGTAGAGGACAACAGTGCTTATACAGGAGGGGTAGGGGACAGCTGAGTAGAGGACAACAGTGCTGATACAGGAGGGGTAGGGGACAGCTGAGTAGAGGACAACAGTGCTGATACAGGAGGGGTAGGGGACAGCTGAGTAGAGGACAACAGTGCTGATACAGGAGGGGTAGGGGACAGCTGAGTAGAGGACAACAGTGCTGATACAGGAGGGGTAGGGGACAGCTGAGTAGAGGACAACAGTGCTGATATGTTGACTGGAGATGTTAAACGTCCCCTCAGCAAGGATGTTTTAATTATTCGTGTAAATATAATTTAACGTTAATTTGAAAATGTTAATTTTCATTTTGATTTTAATCTAATTATTAATGATTTGAATTTTATCATCGGATTTATCAGTTTTGTAATGTTAAGTATGTTTTTGTAAATAATCGTTAAATAATTGTTAAATAATTTTTTGAAACTTTATTTTTGTCGATAATTTAAAATAAATTTGGAACATAACCAGTCAGATTTAAAACAAAAAAGACAAATTTCAGTTTTTTGCGTGTTTTGATATAATTGTGAGCACATCGTGGTGTTAACCACTAGTAACCACTAGTAACCACTAGTAACCACTAGTAACTACTAGTAACCACTAGTAAATATTAGTAACCACTAGTAACCACTAGTAACCACTAGTAACCACTAGTAACCACTTACTGGTGGGCTCACGTGACGAATGATTTTTATGCTCAGATCATCTGAAACCGGTGAGCAGGTCTTATCAGGTTTAATATGCACCGCGAAGTGAACACGGAAGATGATGCTATGGTTAATTTGTTGAAGGAGGGAATTTTATCGTAATGTAGCTAAAGTTTATATAAACGCGTTCAATTTTACACACATTTTATCCAATGTTTGATTTTAGTTTGTTACTGTTTTTTACACATTTGTTATCTAATTGAGGTAAATCATATTTGTTTCCATTTTGTTAATTACTAAATAGCAGTGCTGCAATGTTCAAATTGTTTTTTAAAGTCTCAAATTGTTGATGCCAGATTGAATACTGTATAAAATATCATGTTTCTCATTTCGTCCGAGTAATGAACACTACGTTCGTACTTGCCCTGATCTGGTGTTTCTTTGTAAAACTACTTGAATATTTAGTAAATGCACTAAACTTGAATACCGACAATACGTAACCACTAGTAACCATTAGTAACTACTAGTAACCACTAGTAACCACTAGTAACCACTAGTAACCATTAGTAACCATTAGTAACCATTAGTAACTACTAGTAACCACTAGTAACCATTAGTAACCATTAGTAACCACTAGTAACCACTAGTAACCACTAGTAACCATTAGTAACCATTAGTAACCACTAGTAACCATTAGTAACCATTAGTAACCATTAGTAACCACTAGTAACCACTAGTAACCATTAGTAACCACTAGTAACCATTAGTAACCACTAGTAACCATTAGTAACCACTAGTAACCATTAGTAACCATTAGTTACCATTAGTAACCATTAGTAACCATTAGTAACTACCTGTCACCATTAATAACTACTTGTAACCTTATCCACCACCCTGTACTTTGTACACTGTTCTATTTTAGAAACTTACTTTTTATACACCTGATACTTCTTATCTTGTACCTGACTTAAGGGGACATATTAATACACCAAAACTAACGGTCTTTACTTGAAGTGGTGTTATGAAACACACAACATTTCCTTATTTTCCTCAAATTATCGCAATAAAATGCTGATTTTGAATATCTTCACGACAGTAAATGTAAGCTTATGAGGGCTGGTGGGGGGGGGGGGGGGGGGGGGTGATTAATATATTAGGATTAATACCTGTCGCCGAATAGTATATTATATTATGTGGATTTGGACCAATTACCTTACAAGACATATTTATAACGTACGAAATGTGGCGGTTTTCCGAAAATTTCGCCATATTTTCGGACCGCCAAAATTTCGGTCGTCGTAATAGAATCCGTCGCATTATCTTTTAGCTTATTTCAATGACTGTGCCTTCACTGCTTTATTTTGTTTCTAAAAAGTAATATCAAGTAAAATAAATAAATAAATTCTGGCATCTTGGGACAAATTATCACCACATCAATGACGAATTGAATGTCAAGCAATACAGTTTAAATTTGCATTAAAATACATGTATGTGCTAACATGAAAGTCTTACAGTCTTAATACAGACTAAGTTTGAACATGATTTTACCGATTTTCAGAAATTTCCTTACTGCTTACTGTCACAAAAAATGATGAAAAATACCCTTATTTTCTGTGACGTCCGAAATGTGACGGTTTTTGTTCAATTTCGCCATATTTTCGGACCGCCAAAATTTCGGTCGTCGCAAATTGGTCCGCCACAAAAAAGTCTTGTAAGGTAATAAACTTGTATTGAACCTGTCTCTTGAATCTAGGTAACTAGCACGTTATATTATTATGTTTTATTAAATGATCATGTCTCTTCTAGTTAGGATGTAACGAATCAAAGAAATGAAGATAATGTAATGATGCGTTGCGGAGGGGTTGTTACCACTAGTAACCACTAGTAACCACTAATTACCACTAGTAACCACTAGTAACAATTAGTAACCATTAGTAACCACTAGTAACCACTAGTAACCACTAGTAACCACTAGTAACCACTAATAACCACTAGTAACCACTAGTAACCACTAGTAACCATTAGTAACCACTAGTAACAATTAGTAACCACTAGTAACCACTAGTTAAATGAGTTACTCTCTTCACCAAATCAGATGGGTCTGCTCCACTCTCTTCTATATGTGTACTTCCTTCGCTATAATAACCGCTAATAAGAGCGTACTAACCATCTACAAGTGAGTTAAAAAACACACATAACCATTAACTGCTAGTAACCACTAGTAACCACTGCATTAGTAACCACTAGTAACCACTGCACTAGTAACCACTGCATTAGTAACCACTAGTAACTACTAGTAACCACTGCATTAGTAACCACTGCACTAGTAACCACTGCATTAGTAACCATTAGTAACCACTGCATTAGTAACCACTAGTAACTACAGGTAACCGCTAGCAACTACTAGTGACTACTAATAACCACTAGTAACCATTAGTAACTATTTTTAACCACTAGTAACCACAAAACCTTTATCACATGGTTCTATTTATTGGATCCTTAGTAATTATTTCAAAAAGGATGTGTTTAAACTTATAATTTAACCCCAGGTTTCCTAGCGTCCAGTTTGTGACACTAGTTCAGCTGATTGTCACTGTTATAGTGTTGGAAGTGTTGAAGTTATTGAGATTAGTTACCTTTCCTGCTCTCTCAGTCTCCTCTATCAGAGACGTTAGTAACCACTAGTAACCACTAGTAACCATTAGTAACTATTAGTAACCACTAGTAACCATTAGTAACCGTTAGTAACCGTTAGTATCCGTTAGTAACAACTAGTAACCATTAGTAACCATTAGTAACCGTTAGTAACAACTAGTCACTGTTATACAGGGTATACATACTCCTCTAGTATTAGCAATTGATTAATCTACATCAATTAGTCAATTATAATTAACTAATTATCTATTATTTATTTAACATACCTTAATTCCCAAAAATTTGGGCGACAACAAATTTGAGCGGGCCTCTCGCCCAAATTTTTTACAGACCAAATTAATTGCATAAATCTTTTCCGTCTGCTAAATTTTTTGCTAACCAAACTTTTGGCATTTGGCCTGTGGCCCTGAAATCTATAGAAAGATGGCTTTTTCTTCATATCCAAGTGAAATAATATTTGAAATTTTAGTTTTCTAATCTGTCATTCATGGCTTGACCAAGTAAAAAGGCTTATATTTTAAATGAATAGAAATAACTGGAATAGCTAACAGCTACTAATAAAACAAATGGCTAGAGGTACGGATAGCTAGAGATTTAAACAAGATCTGCAAATGGATTATCATCCACCGTAAAGTCTGATCTACAAGCATCAGTTATACCCGACTTCTCAAAGCCTTTCCTTATGTCATCTGGCCTCCCTTTTAAATATACAAAAAGTTCGTTGATCCAACGAGCGTGTACTTCACGGATCACTGTCAAGCGGGTATCAATTTTCACATTGTCTGATGAAACTCCTCCATTGAGCTGACACACTATGTTTTTCGCGTACCAATCTTCGTACTTATTGCGCATGCATTTCTTAGCCAGTCCATTGATAGATATGTCCAGGGGCTGTAGATGATGGGTCATATTAGCTGGAACTTTCTGTAGGATGCAGTTGTTGGCTGTCATCAGATCTTTTAGTGTCTGTGTGTGTTGGGCCCGAAACACATCTGATATCAGTAGCGCTTTCTGCTCATAGATCATGATGTAAACCTTCTAATTTTCTTCCAAACCTTTCGACCATCTGGTGAGGCGTCATAATGATAATTGTATGTGAAAGGGGTATGATAAGATATGCTGAGTGTAAGTAGACTAAACTATCTGATTGAGAGACTAAATATCACTATTGTATATCTATCATTTTGTACTGTGCCATCATCACTGTATTTTTTAGTAGTTACTGGGCAGATCGTAAATTTCATAATGTGAAACAACTCAGACTACCACCTACATGCTTAAAATTGAAAGCAAAATGACTGGAATAATAAGGAATAATAATGAACTAAGGCAAATATCTAACTGAAATTTTAGTGGAAAATCGTTCATTTTTCGAAGAATTTGTGCCCAAATTTTCGGTCGCCCAAATGAGTTCAAATTTTCTGCCCAAATTTTTCGGGCTCAAATAAATTGTGCTCAATATAATGGCACACAAATTTTTGGGAACTAAGGTATAGTAATTTATTGATAATTTGTCAGGTGATGCCCCTACCTCTGATCCATCTTGCTAATCTACTAGTTGGTCTTGGAAGCACACAAAGCTTAAGGTACCTATTTTAATGTGATATTTTTTTATAAAACGTTCATTTTTTATTGATTACAAGATTTTATAAATCTAACAGCTGAAGACGATTTACACATGTATTTTAAAAGCTCCTGCTAAAACAAACTTTTCGTATTATATATTTTAAGCAAATCCCCTCCAGGTTATAAATTATTGCAAATTGAAATTAATTTGTCATGTAATTAATGAGACCAAATAAGATGTTCACTTCTTAGTTCTTCCTTTTCAGTATCCCCATGTTTCAAGTTCTTAGAAGATTCACTGTCTTATTTGTTATGATCGGAGAAATCACTATCCTAAGGTTTGATTCAGGGTCAGGGTCAGGGTCAGGGTCAGGGTCAGGGTCAGGGTCAGGGTCAGGGTCAGGGTCAGGGTCAGGGTCAGGGTCAGGGTCAGGGTCAGGGTCAGGGTCAGGGTCAGGGTCAGGGTCAGGGTCAGGGTCAGGGTCAGGGTCAGGGTCAGGGTCAGTGTAATTTAGTGGGTGTGACCAATTATAAATATCTCATTAGAATTGAATTGAAATAACTTGTATCGCTACAAGACATTGCGTAATAATTACATTAGCGTTAGATCTCTTATAATCATTATTTCAGAAAAAGATTTTCAAAGTTGACCGTGGTGACCGTTGTTGCGATGTTGGGTGGTGTTATCATAGCGTTCATGTGAGTTATCCTGTAATAATAACGTCAACAGTGAGTACCGAACACTTATTAAAATTTGCTGGAGTAAAAGGGTCTACTCAATGTGGAAGTTGTAGGGCGCATTAACAATCAAATTGAATATTTTGCGCTCTGTACCTTATTAATGGATATATTTATTATTAATGGATATGTTTACTGCGCGCGCGTATTTCCACATGATAGTCCTTCTTCCTACTGTTTTTAAGCGATTCTGTCAGATATTTCAATTTTGCAGAGGTGATTTAGCCTACGATAGCTATGGTTACACACTAGTCTTGCTCAATGACCTATTCACGGCAGCCTATTCTATATACCTCAAGAAAATCAACGATAAAAAGGTAGGTTCCCGTGAATTTTGTCAGATCACATCCAACATCCATGATTTTTCTGTCTCTATTTACAGCAGGGTGTCATAATTATTGGCGCGTAAAATAACGGCCTAAATTATGGGTTTCGAGGTACATCAACACAAAATTCTGGAATTAAGAAAAAGTTCAGACGATTGTTTACAGACCAGTTTTTGAATTTTGTAATTCTGATATTCAGAAGTTATGACCCGTCGAAAAATATTGATTTCATCATAAAATACACATAAAATTTCAAACACGCCAATAATTCTGACACCCTGCAGCTGTACAAGCCACTTTGGGCACTTTGGGTTTGTATTTTAGAACCCAGAGATCGTCATGATGCCTTCATTAGTTTATCTGATGTATTTTCCCAGTTGATGGGGAAGCTCGGTTTGATGTACTATAATTCGATAGTTTCCCTTCCATTGTCACTTCTGGCTTTCATTATTTCTGGAGAATTCCAAACGGTTTGTTTTGATTAATTCAACACTTTTCATAACGTTTTCGTATACTAAGTAGGACTCAAGTTATTAATTAAAGTGGAACTAACTTAATTAATGAAGCCGCAATAAAAACATATTTAAGTTATGGAGCCGTGTTTTAAACTATCTCCAACTGTTCAGGTGAAAGTGTACGCGGGCTGGTCCGACAGCTGGTTTTGTGCCCAGTTTGTTTTGATTAATGTTCTGGGCTTTGTTCTGATGTACAGTGCTATTCTGTGTACTGCGGTGTGCGGGCCTCTTACTTACAATGTGGCAGGTTTGGTTTGCGGGTAGATGATAGGTTTTAGGAATTCTGAATTTTCCAAAACGATAAGTCCTGACACGTGACAGCGATATTAACCAATGAAGTTGCACTTTTACACCCCCTGTGTTTAGCTTTAGCCATTTGTATTGCAGGAGTTCTGAAGAGCGCCGCTGTTACTTACATTGGTAT